CGTGAAAGAACATGTAGAGAGAGTCGTATTGGCATTCGCATCAAGCGCATTGCGCATTTTTCGACTTTTGGCCCCCTTCCAGGGACCTTGATTTTTACCCGCTGGCACTGCCTGACGTCTTTTAATTGGTCAGCCGGTTAGCGCGGTCGATGCTAATAAACACACACACACGCACACACACACACACACACACACACACACACACACAAGAGGAGAGGGAGGCCGTTAAGGTAAGGAAGCAGGTCGGCCAGAATGAGAGGCATGCTGGGAGGGGGGGAAATAGCCGAAAGAGGAAGACAAGAAGAAAAAAATGGCGGGAAAGACGGGGGACAGGCTGCAATGGAACACAACACACGTCCCCGCTGCTCTTCCAGTACCTGCTCTTCAACTATTTTTCAACGAGAAACAACGGAGCAACATGTCACGATCGAGGCCGCATTTGATACGTCTCATCCTTGTGTTGTCATATTTTCGAAAGTCTCATTGAACCCGACTGACCAACCAACGGCATCGCAAAATGGTTGGGGTACATGGTACGGTTGTATCAATTGTGGTCAATTGTGGTTTGTACCGAAACAAGCAAGCATGAAAACGCACATGTACAAACCACACCTGCCCTCCGAGTTAAAGGCATTACGTCCTCAGAGTAGAAGGCACCATGAGATTGTTGACACAACTCCGAAAAACAAACACAGAAACAGCCAGGAGAAACGGTTGACGAGCAGGAGTGCTTGTGATTCTGCCTTCCCCCTGAAGGGTAAATCTACGTCCATTGCCAAACAAAACGTATAATAATTGCGTGCGTGATATAACCCGCGCTAGGCCATTGCCCATGGCTTGAGTACTCCACACCCAAGAGGGAGGTCTGGAAAAACATCCGATAGATGCGCGAGGAGAGCTCTCGACGAGATAGGTTATTCCAAAACAATCGTTTTCGGCATTGGTGTCCTCTCCGTTCAGTGGAGCAATCCAGCAACGAGCGTCTGTCTGCCGGCGGTGCGATCCCTCGCCACACAACTACCAGCAGCACCAGTCGTAGCACAAGTAGCGCTGGCAATTGGAGTTCAGAGCAGGAGCAGCGGCGGCAGCAACACACTACAAGTGCCGGGCGCTTCCTTGGCACTGCTACAGCTGGCTGCCAGAGGCGAGCCCAGTCTGACCCCTGCCCTTTCCAATGGCCGGCTCACAAAGCAAAAACGAACTCAGCCACGACGCGAGAATAACACCAGCTGCTGTAACACGGAAAAAAACAAATGCAAAAGCCCATAACGCAAACAGCGTAATGGACGCTCCTGTGAGTGGGCGTGAGAGCAAGCTAGCGAGTGTGTCGACGCCAAAGCGGTTTCCGCTGCTGCTGCAACTACCGGCCGACGACCGATCGTACAAACCCCAGACCTACCTTCCTGCCGCGCGTTCCTTATTTCGGGGCTGTAGTTCGAGGGTTCCTACTTGCATTTTCGCGGGAGTAGGGAGTGTTTCCCCGGCCTAAACTTTGTGATCGATAGTAGCTGGACCTCTATCGGAGGTTCGCCTATGGCCACAACCTATATCAACACCTCAAATCCTCTCGAGTTGAATGCACAAGTCATCAAAAGATCTCATGTAGCCGTCATCATCAGCACCCACGGTAACAGCAACATGTTCAAAACAAGAACAAATCTAAGTACCTTGACCACGTGCTGCTGCTGCCGCTGGAGGCCAAAGAGGAACCGAATGCGACCCCCCTTGCCCATGGATACCTTCTTCAGGGCGGTTCAGCGACCAAGACGGAACGCGCTCCGGTCCTTCCCCTTCTCCCCTGCCTTCCTCCGGGGCACTAACGCCACCCCCTTGCTGCCCGAGTTGGTCGTCCTCGCGGCCGCTTCCCCTTTTCCCTCCCCCCGGAGCCGTGTACGCCACCGTCGCCCGTGTCGCCAGCGCTTCCTGCTTCTCGTGTTCGGCTTGTTTTTGCTCCTCCCTCTGCTCGGCGAGAAACATGGCGGCCCGTGACTGTTTCTCCGCCTCCTCGTCCCGCTTGCGCTTCCAAGGCGCGCAGAATTCCTTCGGGATAACATGGGGCCAGGGACTTAGGTTAGGGTAAAGGTTAGGTCTAGGGGTCTTACGCTTGTTTCCTCCCACCCTTATGAGCACCCTTAGCAGGGTGCAGCGTACCCCCCATGCAACTCGCCGAAAACCTCACGGTGCTTCGCGCTTAGTGATGTGAGAGCCTGGTCCGGTGAGAACCCGGCATATTCCGTCCTGGCTTTGACGGGATGCCAAGTCAATGGCCAAACGAATACGGCATGCACGACAATGACTACACGAGTACACGCCCCCCGCCCTTATGAACAGCTGCTAGCCCCCGTGGTTCCGCTGGTACACCTCGCAGCAACATTTGGGACGTGAGGTCGAATCTCGGCGTAGTCGTACGTGTACCACTACAATCGTTCATCCTCTCACAGCAGCGTATGACATAGAGATAGTGTATGTACCTCTAGAGAAAGCCTCCCATCTTTGTCCCCGTCCATCTCGAAGAACGAGATGAGGTACTCCTTCGCCGTACTGGCATCGAGCCCGACCAATGACTGCCGGACACGACTCCACTCCACCACGGCATCCTGCACGGTCCGGGAATGGGGGAGACACAAGATGCCATCACACAAGATGCCCTTCACGCAAGATGCCCATCACACAAGACGCCCCGACACCGGCTCCACGGCATACTACCACTCAGCAGCATGGCACAGGAATAGTGGTCGGTTTTGCGATGCGAGCGGGTGGCGTCATCACCTGTCACCCGCTTGGAAATCTACTCCTCATCCACCCCGCCTTTCCCATGACATACGAGCAACGCAAGGCCTGGAAACACGAGCTTTTGCCAGGAAAAAAAAAAAGAAACAATGAAAACGTTGACATTCCTACGGCTTGAGGCTCATCCTCCTCGCCCCCGTCCCATCCCATGCCATGCCAAGCAATTCCACGGGTCTGGCCAAAGCACCTCCGGCTTCAAGGTCATCTTCTCCCCCACCCCCCATCTCACTCACCCCGCATCTAATCCCAGCTGCACCAAGCAAATCGACGGGTCTGACCAAAAACGCACCTCTGGGTTAAGGTTCATCTTCATGGCCTGGAACTGGAGGGCCACGTCTTCGAAGGCGTGTTGCGTTGCGGGGACACCGAGGCTCCGCGACATGTATTCCTGGTATGTGTGACACCGTCGAGAAAAAGGGGGGATCGAGGGACAAAAACAAGAACGGACGGCACAATTAGGCGTGGCGATTTCAGATATTGGAGTTCCAATCAAGTGCATACATGCGTGCCTGCATGCTCGGTACCAGCCGACAGGAAAAAGCAAGAGGGATGTGTTTGGTGTCGACATTTTTCGTTTAGTTCGGAAAAGGCCCCTCGCGCAACATTTCGATAAGCAAAGGCAGCATTATCGCGTTTGAAGTTATGAGGTGCTCGTGACCGAACTCCATGCTCGTTATTGAAACCCATGGGCTCTATCACCGCCAGTTTTGTACTTCGCTCCCGCGACAGCCATCGCATCGTCTCTCATGCCAAGAATGTCCCAGTCCTCCCCTACGACGCAAGCACCCTTATCAGCGTCTTCCGAACTCTCAAACAACCGACACCCCATTGTTGTACATGGTGGACCGCCTTCGCGCGAGTAATGAGTTCATGAGGAAATAGAACAAGCAGGGGGGACGCAGACCCCATTCCCTTACCCTGACCCAACTTCCCCGATTGTATGCTTCATCCAACATGTTAATGGCATGCGAAAAACCCTGGAAAAGGCTACTTGATGCCATGGTACAAGGCGCGCGCAAGACAGACTCGTGCTGTCGAGCAAGCAGCGACGACCGACAATATTGAGAGCCAAGGCAACCCCGGTGCAAGGAGGGGCCCGAGGGGTCATCCTAGAATCATCACAACCACCGGGATACCAGACATTCCGCGGCTCCCCCGTGTCAGCCAATAAATGTCTTGCTCTCTGTTTTCTCGACAAAACCACGATCACCACCACCGGTGAAAGGGCCTACCGCATATGACACAAGATAACACACACCCTGGAACGATTTTCATGCTCAATTTGTTAACTGCGGATGGAGTCGAAGCGTCGAAGACGGCGGCGTTGAAGCCGCCTGGTCGAGAGCTCTCCGAAAATAATATCGTTTCGTTCACGCATCCTCTTCGTCGTGGAGTCATCGAGCTTTGCAAATCGGTCCAGCGGGTGTGTTATCTTGTGTCATATTCCTTGGGTCACCTCTCCACATTCTTAGCCAAGGGCATCTTTCCGTACCACCACAACACTCCAACCTTCGACAAGAGAGCAACTTAGAGCTCAATCGTTCTGTCACCTCGAAACTCTAAGCATCTTCCCCTGCCGCCGCTACACTCAAAACATTGGCAAGAGAGCCATAGACCCTTCGTCGCAGCTGTCACCTGAACGTGCTGAGCGAAGAGGGTGGGATTTTCCCTGTCTTCCGCCGTCGGCACGTAAACAGGAAGATACTCGATCTCCATGCAGTTCCAGACCTGGCACATAACCCTGCGGCATGATGATTGACCGCAGAAAAATAGTCGGCAAAGGTTAGCCGGAAGGATACCGATCGATCACGAATGGCTGAAAGACAAGCAACGAAACAGACAAGAACAGAAGGCAGGACACGTTCAGATGTGACGCAACGCAGACAGAGGATAAAATATGGCACGAAATCACGTAATACAGGGTCGTCCCCCGCACAGACCAGCCAGCCACCGCAGGGGCAGGTACTCTAGCGCCCAAGCGCGCACTGGCCCACCATAGCCCCCACCCCCCACATCTCGTCTCAAAACCACCACCTCAAAAACGAGATAGCTCAACACACGAACCCTCCCGGTCCACCCCCTATCAAAGCATCAAGCAAGCCTTCTCAGTCACAAGCCCCTCACCTCAAAGCCAGTCACATCCAAACCCCGGTTTAACTTCTCACCTCAAAGCTAGCGCCACCAGAGACGGCGATACCGCAGGGTAAGACGGGTCCAGATGGCCGTCCGTCCGCGGATATCGAACCGTAACCGGCTGGATGTTCTGTCCCGTGATGAACGGCCCGTGCTTGAAGGTGATGAGAGCGCGCTGATTCGTGCAGGTTCCCTCCGGAAAGACCAGCACCCGAGGGAAGGTCGACGCCGGGTCGCTTCGCTCCTCGATTGTCTGCACCAAGGAGGCGTTTAGCTTTAGGGTTACATTAGGGTTACTCAGGGTTGGGGTTAGGTTAGGGTAAGGGCCAGGGATGGGGTTCGCTTTGCCCCTCGATTGTCTACACCAAGGACGCATATAGGGCTCGGGTTGGTTAGACAAGCGCCGTGTGTTCCTGATAACGCGCGACCACCCGTTTTCCTCTCCTCAAAGTACATTCTCCATGGGATTCACCGTCAAACATCCCCCCCCCCGTGGCCTTGGGAACGTAGAACTAGAAAAGGAGTTCACTGAGGACGAGGTTGAGGCGTGTGTGAACAAGCTGAAGTGCCACAAAGCAGCAGGAGCGGATGGGATATTCAACGAGTTCATCAAGTTTGGGGGGAAGGGGATGATCCAGCTGATGGTACTGCTATACAATTGGGTGTGGAAAAAGGAGTATACGCCAAGTAGATGGAGGGAAGGAGTGGTTGTGAACTTGTTTAAGAAAAGAGACAAGACTGACCCAGGAAACTACAGGGGGATCACACTGTTGAACTCAGTAGGGAAAGTGTTCTGTATGCTGCTGAACGATAGGATAGTGGGAGTATTGGAGAAGGAACATAGCATTAGTGAGGGCCAGGCAGGTTTCCGCAAGAAGAGGGGGGGCGTAGACCACGTGTTGACGGTAGGGAGAATCATCCAAGGTAGAA